TCCGACACTGCTAGTCCTACGCCGAAGACCTCTTGAATCAGTGACTCTATGAATGAGTGTCTGCTTCATGGTGAGTTTTGGTTGTGTTTAGCTGTTTAGCTGTTTAGCTGTTTAGCTGTGCAAAACAAACTTCTTCGAGCTACAGCTGCCAGATGAGAAGGAGAGGTCAGTGCGTCCGGGGGTCGCAGTGTAAGCTGCCACGGCTTGAAGAGTTTGAACCGTCACCATCTTCTTTTTGCGCTGCAACAGGCGCCGACATTCTCACAACATAGTGGCCACAGGAAGCACGTTGCAGATGAGACAGACAATGGCTGGTTTCCATCATGGAATTGTTGGTGTAGTATGTTCCAGTGACATGTGGACTCTGTGGTCGCTCTCGCAAGGCAACATGCTGTGTAACTTAGACTGTTGCTTGAACGGTGACGTTAGACCCGAACTCTTGAAAGAAACGATGGCGAGAGGAAAAGGGTTCATATGGAGGTTTTGGGTGGGAGGGCAGTGATGGGTAGCAGGCAGTGACTGAGACTAAGTCTAAGTAAAACATTGGGTTTCTATATTACGATTCTATGAAGCGCAGTTGCCGCTGCAAGCCTGGTCCTGAATTACTGAATTAGTCTTGAGCAGCTTGCCAATCATTGCCAAGCATGGGCAAGTGTAAGAGTTTTGTTCCAGGAATTGTATTAAAAGCGTGAGCCGAATGCATTCAACAATGGGTTCTGAAGATTGCCTCTGGCTCACACTGTAGAGGACTCGTTCAGCATCTACCTGATGGGCCTGATGGCACCTCATGCTGTAACGTGAATTACCCATATAGATATATATATATATTTTGGAGATTTTGATGATAAGAAAATTTTGACAATTCCATTCCATGTTGATGTCTAAGCTTTGGGCTTCAACTGTCAAGTCATTGCGTTGGTTCGTGTGTGTGCGTCCAACCAAATCTACGAGTCTACAGGGTCTACAGTCCTCAGTCTGCGTTGAGCTTTTCAAGCACGTGTAGTCCGCTTGCGAGGGAAGGGCCAGTAACTGATAGTGACACATTTTTTTCTGGAACCATGTTCTCACCTGCTTTTAATGCGTTAGCTGTTAGCTGATACTGCTTCTCATCCTGTGACTAAACTGATAACTGCTGCTACCTCCTCTTCCTAGTCAAATCTTAAACTCTTGAACTGGTCATGTGCTCAGATGTATACATCTATGGAATCTATGGCTCATTAGCTATGTAGCTGTTTAGCTGAGTCTAGCTAGCTTTAACTCGAAAACCATAAGGCGCTGGCTGGGGCTTGGAAATGAATACCGAAATTTCTTTGGTGGCCTCATTGATTGCTTTCAGCTATCACAGCAGGGCCCGGCGCATTTTTGTGCTCTGTGTTTACAGGTGCCCGAACATTTGCTGTTTCCAAGCCGATACAATTCGCAGCAATGTTTTCGTGTGGAGCTGTAGTGAAGTTGTTCCTCAAGAAACCCGACAAGCTCAGGCTCACACTACACTCTATACTCTCCCGAAAACTTGGCTGTGAATTTTGGTCCTTAATCCTGGGCTGCTTTGGCTGTAGACCTAGGCTGCTGACGTATGAGCTAGTAACTAGCGCGCAGCAAGATTTGGGCTCTTCGGCGCTTCTCACTTGCGACTAACAGTGACTAACACAGGCGGATATGTTTTTGGTTGCTCTTGCGTCTCAGATTGGGCATCAAATGTGCTATGCCACTATACTCTTCCAGCCCATGTGCTGGCTGTGCTCGCTGATTCTATTAATGATTTTGACGATTTTCTGGGTGATATGGATTCATCAGAGTTAGACTGACTGACACCTATTTTGGATAATTTTCTAACAGGTGACACACAATGAAGTCATAGCGTAGGCGAAATTCCTAAGCATCGAATTAAAGGTAAATATTATATTGTTTTCATGAAAATAAAGAGTCTTTTGTTTAATAATTATTAGTAAAGGAAATATATGTATTAATAAAATACATATATTTATTAGTGAAACAAATATTAGAAAATATTACAAAATATTACAAAATATTTGCAAAATATTTGCAAAACATTTGCGAAATATTTGCAATCCTGTTTGCAAAATATTTGCGAAATATTTGCGAAAATATTTATTTCTGGAAATATAGGACCTGGCTGACAAAAACTCTTATAAGGCAAGCCCGCAGCCTCCCGCAGGGACAGGGTTGCTCTGAGTCACTAAAGGGGGGGTAGAACGGAAGGACAGCTGGGCTTGAAGCCCCGAGCCTTTCAAGCCCTCCTTTGCAGAACGCTCAGAGCAACCCAGAGAAAAAAGGAGTTGAGCCTTTTGCTTCTTGTAGTGGTAAGTGTTGAGGCTAGGAGCAGTGCAAGCCCACAGAACGCTAAGAGTTTTATTTTGGTCTCTTGTGTTTTGTGTGGTCTTGTGAATCTCATGCATGTCTGCTGCCACTACTGCTCCGAGGCCAAGACTGTAGCCCATTACAAGCCCTACACGTAGATCGCTTTCTACCTAGCAACACTTTTCCCACCCTCCCAGACCCTTGTAGATGCTAGCCTGAAGCGCTGTGCCCAGGTCAAGACTTCGGAGCTGAGCCTGCCGCAGCCTTCGTCTATGTTTCACCTAGCGTTTCAGCCTTTCAGCTAGCCTGTCAGCCGCTGTCTGTGCAGGTCACCTGTCGCCTCAGCCCTTGAAACAAGAGCCGCTGCTCTGCCAACCCAGGCCTAGCCCGCAGGCCTGGCCAACTGTAGCCCTCGCGTGGGACCACCGTAGGTCAGCCCGAGCCCGCTGAGCTTGGTTTTACACAGTCTCACAAAGCCCAAACCACCGTTTGGCCCAGTCCTTGGAACTGGTTTTCAGCTTACGTTTCAGCTAAGAAGGGGGTAGAACGGAAGGACAGCTGGGCTTGAAGCCCCGAGCCTTTCAAGCCCTCCTTTGCAGAACACTCAGAGCAACCCAGAGAAAAAAGGAGTTGAGCCTTTTGCTTCTTGTAGTCGTAAGTGTTGAGGCTAGGAGCTGTGCAAGCCCACAGAACTTTCACGGTTGCACTTTAGTTGTCAACCTTCCAGCTGCAGCCGGGACAGGACTACCTAAGGACTCGCAGTCCACAGTGTCGCCCTAGATATGTCTTGCCGTTCAAGCACGTTGGCGTCTGGCTACCCAGGCCTGTGGGCCTATCAGACAATAATAGCCTTTGCCTGGGCCTGGGCCCACGCTCCTGTGAGCTACACATTTGACTCAAGCCCGCTGAGCTTGGTTATTGCTTCTGTTCTCACTTAGCCCAAGCCAGTGTTGGCCCAGACTTTGATTCTGATTTTCAAGCTTAAGCTTTCACCAGGGGGCAAAACGGACAGGGCACGGGAGCCCGCCAGCCTTCAAAGCCATTGAACAAGCCAATGAAAAGAAAAGTGCGTCTCTTTGCTGTTGTGGTAAGCTTGGACAGGAGAGCAGCCACCCAGAACACATGACTGTTGAAGATACTATCCTTAATATTCTGCAATATTCAGTGCCCATCCTCCATTAAACGAAAAGTAAGACTCCATCGCAGTTTGCCTGCGTAAGGCTTTATTTTCGTAACGGAGGTGGTTTAAAAGTTCAAAAGCAAAGGCCACGAGTTTTCCACGGCTCATGCACATAAAAATGACATAGCATGTGTTTGATGAACATGTGTGTGGGCACTTTTGTGATCGAAGGTAAAGCAGCACAAATTTTTCCCACCCACCCAGCCAGCTCTTTTTCCGGGATGTGCGCGAGGGGGTATGCAAGATGTTCCGCCTTCACGTGTAAGATATCCCTTGTAGCCTGGTGGCAAACGCCGTATCAAAACTACGCGTACAATCCCATTGAATCTTGCGTGGCAAAATGAGAATGAAATCCTCTGCATGGCGTAGCATGCATGTTCACCAAGATGTATTGATTGGAGTGGATTGAATAGGCGAATGATTTTTGAAGAAACTGATCCTTGATATTTTGAATGCCCGTGCTCCGGTAACTAATGGAGAAATAGGGTAGAAATTCTAAACGCGTACAGTTCAGGGCTTTAGGGTTCAAGGGCCGAAGGCTTCAAAGTCCGAAGCCTTGCTGTTTGTGTTGCCTCGCATTGTGTTGTTTTGCTTCCACAGTCTTATTTGCAATGCTTTGCGTCCTGCTGGGCGAATTTGGCCATGTTCTCATTTGGACCCGCGCATTCTCAATCTCAATCTGAACCTTATCCGGAACATGACAATTTCAGGTTACAATACGTGCATTGTTTTACTTGCATGCGCTGTTCCATTTGTTTTGCCGTTATTTTTGCCCACTGTATCATTCGACACGACCAAATAATTACAGTTGAAGTCAGTCCACTGTGTGTTAATTTTTTTATCGGAGCTTGTTTGCGAATCTTCGAAAGGCTTCCATTTGCCTTGGGTGTGGGTACATGTTTTTGTCAGTCGTCCTCTATGAGTTCGGGTCAAATTTTTTTGGCCTTGGGGTTAGATCAGGGGCATGATGGGTACCGGCTACAGTACGCAGAGCAATCCATTGTCACCAAATCATTCAGAGACAGCATGGTCCCAAAACGATCTATGTTTGGCATCGTTCCAATTGCATTTCTGTTCCAATCTGTCTTTTGCAATTCCCAGCCCAACCACTACAGTCGATGTCAATCACTTCTGTCTGCACTGCCCTTTTTTTTTTTTTTTTTTTAAATTGCATGTGTGTCTCTGTCCCATGTGGCTACTGGAATCTGGAGGTTGCCGTGTACAAATTCTTTTCCAGCACCCAAATATTTCAGCTTTAGATGGCCAATAGAGTATTCAGTTGATGTCTCGCACTAAGATCCTACAGCAAGCTCAATCAAATCATCATAACCTTCAAGAAGTAGCGCAAATTCGAAAGGCATGGAGGGACTTGACTTGAGTTTTGGGGCCAGTAGAGGTGACAATTCGTTGCGGTAGCCGAAGCATGGAGCGTTTGGCATGCGACCAAATGGAAGAAGAGGAGCTGGGTGAGGTTCTTCTGCTCCAGACACAGCTCCAAATGCAGCATGCGCATCAAAGGCCAGTTTTCATACAAGAGATTGGCCCTGTCCTCGTTACATTGTCTTCAAGGCTTCAACATCCGTTGCCCCTAATCGCTGTGGCTACAGGGCTGGTTGTCATTCTGGTGTCGCTTTGCGGGCTGCGCAGATGTTTGAAGGAAAACTTTGCTCACCAACCCAAGCGAGATGTTGACGGTGTGCGGCTTGGCGTGTATGGAATCTTGCTCACGCAGACCTTGAACGCATTGGCAACAATGGTGGTTTTGCCAACTCTACCGTTCTTTGCGATGAAGTTGGGTGCAACAGCCCTGGAGGTTTCACTGATGAATTCTGCATATAATCTTGCCCAGATGTTCTGTTCGCCGCTCTTAGGGGCCCTGTCTGACCGCTATGGGCGGAAGAGCGTCATGCTGGCCGGAATCTGCGTTCAGATGCTGTGCAATGCTTTCATGGCG